AGACAGGGTCTCATTACATAGTTGAGACTGACCTGGAACTCACTATGTAGCCCAGGCTGGTGTTGAACTCACAGTGATCCTCCTGCCTCAGCCTCCCAAATGCTGGGATTACAAGCAGGTGCCACCATGTCCAGCTGGTCATGCCTTTTTAAAGATTATTATTTTTATTGTATCCTATATAAATAGTACAGTGTCATCCACTGTTTTAAATAGAAATACACTTGTCATTTTGACTTTTTTTAAATTACATTTTGCCTTTTCACATGAGTATATAAAAGGATTCTGATTTTCACCCAATACTTTAAAAATGGTTGCTGCCATTTTTTTTCAGTTTTTTGTAAAAGTATTTTAAATGTATCATAATGAAATTCTTATTGTTCAGAATGAGTAAGAAAGTTTTCTCTAAGTCATATTATTTTTTTAAAATTACATTTGCCTTTTTTAACATCAATACTTTACATTCTAATTACTCAAACTTATGGAAATATTCTAACATGTAGATTTGGTCACCTGTAACTTTATACTGTTTTAAAAAATAAAACCCCAAAGCATGTTTTTATAACTGCTCCTGAAGAGGACATAAAAGCAAGATATATATTTAATACAAAGTATCAGACAAGACAGTGTTTGTTACTAGCAAAGGAACTTTTGAGGATTTCATTTAAATAGCAAGCCGCAGTGCTTAAGTGTGTGTATCTGTCTCTCCATACCAAGGACCCCCGTTTGCATCTCCTAAGAGCGTTCGCCCCTGAATCTTTCTTCCCCACTTCGTTCTCTGCACCTTCTGTTTTAGTTCTGTCCTTGTCCCCCATGCCTCTGACCCCAAATCTCTACTCCTTAGTAAGTGTCTCTCTGCCCATGTAGGAGGAAAATACAATAAATCCAGATGTTTCTCAAGGCCATCCTAAATATTGAGTAGATGTGTCAATAATTTGTATAAATGTAATCCCTGCTCCTGATAACCTGCAGACAATGAAAATTTCAGCAACAATTTGGTACACAATGCTGCAGGAGCAGTAATTTTAGAAGGTAGCAGCACTAGAGGAGAATAAGGAAAGTATAGTGCTAGGCCCCAGGCCTCTGGTTCAGTCCTAGCCATTTGACTAGTTTTTAGCCAGATGCTTACCCTTCCAGTTATACTTTCCAAGAAATTATAGCATTTCATGGGGACAAAAGTTAAAAGATCACATTTCAGAAAGTGTAACCCATGATCTAATAGTAATGTGTCACAGATGCCATTGAACTGAGCAGTGGGTTTGGAGCTTTAGCGTCAGATTCTCTTGGAAACAACTCGTTAAATTGCTGAAATATACCTGCAGTATCTGTAGTGTCCACCAGATGGCGATAGAGGATTTGTATTTTTTTACTAGTTTCAAGCAATGCTGTCTGCCGGTTTAGGGGCCATGCTTTGAGAGCCCTGATGCTGAGCTTTGTCCTGAGAGTAGTTTCGTCTCTCTGTTACAGGTATTTTGGCTGTCCCTGCTGTTCTGGAACATCTTAGGTAGTATACTTACTGACTTAACTTTTTTTTTTTTCCTTTTTTATTGAGGTTATTGGTACAATCTAGGTATACAATACAGTTACATTCATCATTGGGATTCTGTACCTTTA